TTCTTTTCCGTGTGTGTGTTTGTTCTTGGTGTAATTTTAAAAGAAAGGACTTAGAGCCAGAAGAGAAAGGTGGGGAAGGGCAGTCTTCCCCCCGGCTCTGCGGCCACAGGGGTGCTGTCCGAGGTGGTGTGTGGTTTTCAGAGCCGTGGGCACCGCAGCCCACGAGGCACAGCCCCACCCGAGTTCAGGCAGGAGGAGGTGGGAGGGGCACAGAGCAACAGGCTGGAAGTGAGTTTCAGAAGGAGACAGAGTTCCGTGTCTCACAGGCTGAAACATAACCCAAGGCTTCGTCTTTCCTTGAGTCTCCGGGAATATGTGTAAGAAACTGGGCAGAAGTGAGGCACTTGCTCCCGAGCGGCCTGCGTTCTCTCTGGGGAGAGCGCTGTGGAGGAGCCGCATAGAGATCGGGGTGTGAGGGTGTCCCACAAAAAGGTGTGCACACACTTTGAATAATTATGGAGGCAGTTTTTAATTAAAATACACAATATTCTCAAACTTGAGCTCTCAGCTGTTAAAGTGTGTATACATTTTTTGGGACACCCTGTATTTTTATTTTTTACTTCTCTGTGTTTATTTTTTTTCTTAATTATGTGACCAAAAACATCAAAAAATACATTTCTAGAGTTATATCTCTTTAGGCAAAAAAAAAAAAAAAAAAGCTTTTGAATTGAACTTTTTATATAAATTGGGCAAAGGCTTTTATATATGAAGCCTGAATCACTCCAGTTCACTAATGGATTTTGCTACCATCAACAAGGCTTAATTTTACATTTTTATGACTTATTTGAAACTTGAGGGCAGTAAGAAAAAAAATGATACTTTTTCATCTTTTGTGTTTTACTTATTAAGTTCCCTCACTAGAGTGGCCGTGAAAGAAAGGAACAGAAAGACTGTTAAACGAGTTCTGAAATGCCCCCAAGAGCATTCACGTCATCATCCCAGCATCTAGGAACTGTTTTTCTGTATGTTTCGGCCCCTGTGCTCAGAGTCAGGGCAGGTGTGCGGGTGTCCCTGTGGGGTCTGGTCAGTGGGCTGGGCGGCTGCACGGACGGACCAGCCCAGACCCGCAAGCACATGGCGGTGCTCGGCTCTGTGTGCGAGACGTGGCGTTTCCCTTCATGCTCCAGCCTCTCACCTAACACAGCTGTGGCTCAAGTCCTCACGTTGATCGTGGAGGCACGGGGCTGACCCCCCTGGAGGAGGCACCCGGATGTTCTCATGGGTAATTAAGCGGTGATGTGACCTCAGCGGGCGGTGTGACTAACAGTTGGCATTGCTGTCACCCCATGTCCGGGCTGTGGCTTGTGATGGAGAAACAGCACAAGTGTAGGTTGCAAGTCTCGCTCAAGGACACCAGAGGCAAGCCCCTGTGTCGGCGGCGCTGTGTGCAGGCTGCGGGCAGGGCGTCGTGGCGGTGTGGCTCGGTGCAGAGGTAGTGAGTTCTTCTCTGACGGTGAGGAGTGTGTGTCATGACCTCCGTGTCAGGGTGATCATGATGATCCTAGATGGGTCCCAGTAGAACCTGGCTTTTGGTGGCAAATGTGTAGAGGCAGCTGTGAGCAGGAGGCACTCTGAGAGGCCTGGGCCCGGTCTCCGGCGTCTCAGATCTGCCGCCGCCGCAGGAGAAGGGCTGGCTCAGGACATCAGAACTCCAAGCTGTGAGTGGCCCTGCCTTTCCTTTTTAGATTTGGCCCAGATATCGCAAAATTTAAACACATTTAAAACTATTTTATTATGACCTTTCCATCACCATTCTTAAATGTCTATACAAGACCAGTGTTTCCAGCCAGATGATAACACATGGTACCCAAAACTCTTTTCTTTCCGTTTTACTGAAACCCTGGGGCAAATGCAACATCACATCTCAGGCGTGGATCCAACCTGTTTTTGTCGTGAAGTTCTCCACGAGGGGGCCAGGGTGGATGCTCAGATCATCCGTGTGCCTCCTCAGTGGTTTTACCAGTAGTCCCCGTGGAGTGGAAGAGACGGAACATGTGGAGCGGGTGTTGTACTTAACACACCCTTATATATAGGGGCTTAAAATAGACTCGGTGCCACTGTCGTGGCAACGCCTGGCAGCGAGGAGGGCGCTGAGTGGCGGGCCCTTCCCGGGCCTCCGACACGCCAACGTGAGAACCTGTGCCTGCCTGGCAGGCAGTTTCCATAGAAACCAGTCAGCCTCCTCTGCCATTTCGAACCCAAGCCGAGCGGTGCACGCTGCTGCCACGCTTTGTCTACGGGATTCGGATCCCGCACAGCCGCCCCTCCTGGAGGGGACGTGTGCCCGGCTGGGTGGTGCTCATGGCTTTTGTAGCTGTTATCAGGGGCCCTGGGGCTGGCCCCACCTGAGCACCAACACCCCTTTTGTTAGATGGACAGTCACTTCCTCATTCACCGAGGGAAGAAAACAGAATTTTGAATGTTGAGATTTCTTAGCTAGGAAATTCGCATGTAGCTTTGAGTTTCAAAAGCCTTACAGTCTTGAACAGTAACACACAGGTGAACAGGCAGGGCTGTTAGAAAAAAAGGAGTTTTGGGAAACCATTCTGGGCCGCCTGGCGTGGCCCCGGAGCGCAGAAGGGGGCTGTGCTGGGGACTCGGACGTGGCCAGTGCAGGGAGGAGGGGGGAGGGGCCCCTGCGTCCCGGGAGCTGCTGGCACCCCCCTGCCCCCTCTGCACTGAGGTCAGACTGGGGCCAGCCTGGTGAGGAGGAGGAGTCCTGGCCACTTGGCAGTCCCACCCTCCTTCTGCCCCCGCCCCCCCACCTCCCGCAGCCCCGCAGCCAGCAGGGGGCAGGCCAGCTGCCTAACTGGAGACGCTGGAGATAGAAACAGACCTTTTCAGAAAGCAAGGCCTCTTTCTAGGAATGAAAGCTCCAAAAATGAGCCAAATCGGTGTTTTGTTTTTATGGTGATAAAGGCATTTTAAATGCCTCTTTCTTAAATCACACGATGCATTTGTAAATGGCTTCATCACATAGAAACGACTATGAAAGCCTTTTTATAATTAGTCAAACCTGACTTTCATGTGTAGGGTTTTGGTTGTAATGCCTCACTTTAAACTTGAACAGAATGATGTCACTCTCCTCCTGCCGCATAAAGAGCAGCATATGAAACTGTCTACTCGTGTTAAAATGAATAAATTTTAAATAAATTTTCACTAAGTTCTTAAGTTAGGAAAAATTTAGGATTTTTTTTAAAGCGAAAAGCAAGGCCAAGTGTGTGTCCCTGCCGGTGGGAAGATTCCTGCTTCCGGTACGTTTCCCATGGAAACTCCTGCGGACCCGCTCCTGTCAGACAGCCTCATGCTGCAGGGTCCCTCCCGGGGCTCTGGGCTCGCCGTCCAGGAGGCGCCATTGGACAGCACAGCTGTCCAGCCATCACTCAGGCAGTGACCACTTGGCCGTGACAGAACAGTCTTGTGACCAGACAGAAACAGCTGCCACCTGGACAGCAGTCGAGGCGGCAGTCAGATCTCCGGCTGTTTCGACCCTGATCCTGCTTTAACCTCTCATTGCTTCTCACTGTCCTACTTTAAAGATCCCACCCCCACCCCCCCACCCCCGTGCCCACCAGCAACTTCTCTGCGCCCCTCACTGTCACTCTGTAATTCTCCGACAGCACACGCTATAGCTTAAGCTTGAACTTCAGGACAATATGGCAGCTACCAATTTCTACACCCTCAGACCTAGACTTATGTTTCCTCTCTTGGGGCTAAAGGAGAATTTGACAGCTTCTAATACCAAAAATCGTTGATACATCCAACTGGCAAAGGATGGCGTTCCCAGCGCTGAACGCAGCCCAGGCTCACGTGTCTCCCCTCCACTCCCCACGCTCGTCTGACCGCGAGGACGTCCGTCTGTGCCCAGGTCATGCACTGGTCTCAGCACCCGGACCAGGGAGGCGCCCTGAGTGGGAGGCACACCTGATCCCTTAGAACAGCGGTTCTCAACCTGTGGGTCGCGACCCCTTTGGCGGCCGAACGACCCTTTCACAGGGGTCGCCTCAGACCATCCTGCATATCAGATATTTACATGACGATGCATAACAGTAGCAAGATTACAGTTATGAAGTAGCAACGAAAATAATTTTATGGTTGGGTCACAACATGAGGAACTGCATTTAAAGGGCCGGAAGGTTGAGAACCGCTGCCTTAGAAGCAGTGGGCATCTGTCCAGTATTTAAAATTTGTGACTTTTGTCCTCAGTTTTTACATTTCTGGCAGGAACAAATGCAGCTGAAATGGCTTAAAGGGAAAATGTCTTTGCAGAACTGTCTGTTTATTCTTGGGAGGGCGTACTTAGGAAGTGATTTGGAGGAGAATCGCTAAAACGTTATCAGCGCTCTCCCCCATAGTGCAAGGCAGTGTGGTGGAGAAGAGTGGACGGCCTGGCTCGGAGGTGAGGCAGAGGCAGTAGGTGCCGGAGCCAATCGAAGCGCCTTGGCTGCCTTGGCCCGGATGCTCCATGGTCAGCTAAAAGGAACAAGGATGTTCAGGTAGATCTACCTGCCCAGTGGTCTGATAAGTGGAGCTCACCCCAGGGCCAGGGCCGGGTGCTGCCGCACTGGCATCGGCTGACCAATTAGGAGCGTGGAGCACCGTGTCCTGGGCCTGGCGGTTTAGACCCCTGGGCACACATGCCTGAGGGAGAGCCTTGCTGCAGGTGTGCGCTGGGTGCTGCCAGGCCTGTGGTGCCCGCCTGCAGCGGCTCCAGGGACGGGGCGGCCGGGTCCTGGAGGGGACGCTGCAGCAGCCAAGGGCCACGCTTCGGGCCCGAGTCCCAGGCAGGTGCTGGGCATCAGGGCCCCTGGAGAGCGTCGCTGGGGGTGGTGTCTGTGGTGGTGGGTGAGCCAGGTCCACGCAGCCGGAGCCGCGCTGCAGGCCCTCACCTGGGAGCGTGCGCATTAAGGGAGCTCGCTTTCTGGAGAAATAAGAAGGTTATTGTCCAGGGGGTTTCATTCCTTTCAAGTAAATTGCCCTGTTTGTGTGTTTAATCATAGGTGCCCCACCCCTGGCTGCGACGGCTCTGGGCACATTACCGGCAACTACGCTTCCCATCGAAGGTACGTGGGGCACTGTGCTCCCCTTGAAACCGTCCTTTCTTGTCCCCCTCCTGCCGGGATCCTGCTGCCGGTCCTGGCACCCGCTGACCCCACTGGTACATGGTCACACGAGCAGCAGTGCCCTGCGGGGCTACTCAGAGAGCGAGCGCCCCTGGGGCAGCCCAGCCCCCGGCAGAGCTCTCTCTGCAGCTGGCTCCACCCACAGCAGCTCTAAAGACAGCAGTAGTGCGTGTCCTTAACTGAGAGAGAAGATCCAGGAAGACTTAAGACCCCTGAGGACAGTCCCTGTGGGGCAGGCTCTCTGACACCCTCACAATTCAGATTGGAGCCACAGGCTGCACAGTCCTGTCAGCCGGGCCGCAGAGCCGACCCCACAGAAATGCTGAAGCTCACACGTCACGTGCGGTCACTCCCCAGGAGGAGGCAGCGTCCACACGTGGCACAGAGCGGCCGTCCCGAGGAGCAACCACCATCTGGGCGAGCCGACACTCGTCCACATCCTGTGAGCGCCCACTAGGCCAGGCCTGTGCCGGGAGCAGATTGAAAGAGGCTTTGGTGCGATGTCGGCGCAGGGTGGGCCTCGGCCCCGTGGTGGGTGCAAGAACCTCCTACCGTGTTCACGGGAACAAGCCAGCGCGGAAGGACCAGGTCTTTCTGAACGGAGGCCGTCGGGTGAAGGACAGCAGGGCCGCAACTAAACAATGGACAGCAGTGCGGCAGCGCCCACTCACCACAGCTCAGCAGGACGGGGCTGTCTGGCAGCCGAGCCTTCTGCTTGAGTGCCCCCTGCCCCCCGAAACAGAGAGTCAGGACGCCAGAGGCACGCCCGCCGCCCACACCGCCCACTGCCCTCCAGGGGAAGGTCGTTTGCACAGAGCCGTGGGGCTGGTCGGCAGGTCAGAGGTCAAGCCCTGCAGCCACCCAGTGACCACACCGGGGGATGCTCGCTGGCTGGCACAGCTTGTTTCCTCGCCAGGTCCTACTGCCACCCCCGGGCTCCTGGGGTCCGCCTGGCGCTGCCCACATCATGGGCTGGAGAACTCATTGCTGTGGGAGCCACTGCAGGTGCTGAGCAGGTGCTGCTGTGACAGCCGGAGGTGTCCACCGACGTCACCAGTGCTGCGGCCCCCGCCACGGGCCGGCGTCAGGACCAGCCTCCTTGCGCTGAGCTGGTTCACCAGGCGTCTTAACGGAGAACCTCAGGGTCACCTCCAGAAAGCGTAGCCAGCGTCAGGTCATTGGTTTAGAGCAAATGCAGTAAAACTAGACCTAAAACTCCAGCTAAATGTAAAAAGTCAAGCAGGCGAGTTGCTGCAGCAGCAACACCCGAATCAACGCGCTCTGAGGACCAGGGGGACCGTGTGGTGGCGCCGCGGGTACAAGCACACGGAGGAGCTGCAGGGAAACGGGGTGTGAGTCCTGCTAAACGCGTGGCGGGGAACTTGGCCTCCAGGACACGTAGCCCAAGTCTAGGAGGCCAGGCGGGCTTTCCACACAGAGAAGGTGGGTGAGAGACGGACTGAAAGGGCCTTTGGCGCAATGTCCGCTCCGCGCTAGGCCAGGCCTCCCAAAGCACACATCAGCGTGAAGGGCGACAGCCAGGGGACAGAGCGGGTGCCGGTCAGTGAGGGGAGAGAGGCTCTGGGGCAGCTGGACGGGAGGCAGGAAGGGCCACGGCCTCAGATTCCCGGTGGGACAGAAGCCCCCTAACAGGACGGGTTAATTCTGTTCAAGTCACTGCTCGAGGGCCCCCTGTGGCCCCTGCAGGTCCGCAGAGGAGGGAGAGGGGTGAGCGGCAGAGTCTCCTTCACGCCCATGTGGACGCACTGACGAAAGAGAATCACGCTGTTCGGAAAGGACGGGCAGCCTCATCGGAGAGCCGCTCCTCGGGAGCCTGAGGGACACTGGAGCCCACGGCCGCCCAGAGGCAGAGCTGCCCCTCCCAGCACACAGCGCCCACGGCTCCCTCGGCTCCCGCGGCTCCTGCGGCTCCCGTGGCTGAGGCATGAACTCCCACCTCACTCAAACCAGAGTGACTTTGCTGGGTTTAACTTTGGACCCTAAAGACGGAATCACAAACACAGACCCCCTCTGGGAGAAGGTCGAGGTCCCTGAGCACTGTCTCTGCCCACACCTGGCGGGCCTCCTGGGCTCCTTTCGCCTCCAGCTGACACGGGCCTGCTCGCTCTGGAGTGCAGGCGAGGAAGCTGAGGCTCGGGGGAGAGAAGGGCCTGTCCTGGGCACCCCTCCCAGCGTCCGCCTCCGAGCCACTGCCCACCGTGAAACGGCAGATGGTCTCCAGCTGCTGGTTCTGCAGGGCGCTCCATGCTGGGTGGGCAGTGAGCAGCGGGTTTTCATTTCCACATTTTAAGCAAAAAAACAGGAGTCTTTAAATGTTGATCAATGCTTAGTTTTGCTTTTCTGGGGGTTCCGGCTCTCAGTTGGAGGTAGGAAAGCTCTCTAGTTTCCATCAGCATGGAAATCAGCAAGAAGTAAGTCATCTGGAGAGAGCCACCAGCCTGAGCGTTAAAATGCCGCCCGCCCGTGAGAACAGGCCCCGCGCTGCGGGCCGGTGGCATTCAGTGCCGGCAGTGCCGGCGCTAGGCTGCCACCCCTGCAGGAGGGATGCTTGGAGGGCACAGAGGGGCTGCGCCGGGAGGACCCAGGTTTTGTTTTCATGCGGGAAGCGGGGCTCTGGAGAGAATGCAGTCATGGAGCCGAGGCTGGTGCGGGGGCGTGCTGACCTCGTGCTTCTCCTCAGCCTTTCAGGGTGCCCGCGAGCCAAGAAGAGCGGCATCCGGATAGCGCAGAGCAAGGAGGACAAGGAAGACCAGGAGCCCATCAGGTGTGCGTGCGGGGGGGCGGGGCCACAGGGCACGTGCGGGGAGCAGGTGAGAGTCGGGGGGGAGGACACGCTTTGGGATGTCAATCAACTGCAAGGTCAGATCATTTAAACCCAAACCAAATCGGATGTCTAAGTTGTAGTTGATGTAACAGGCGAATACCCATCAGTTTGATGTTCTGAGTAACTAAGCTGCGAAGCGTCCCTCTTCCCGGGGGCAAAACACAGTCTATTCACGGGAAAGGCAGGTTCATGGAAGTAGAGGAAGGTATTGAACAGGATCAGGGTGAGCACTGTGCTGGCATCTGGCTCGTGGAATCATGTAGCTACATCCACTCTCAGCTGGACCGAGGCTCCTGGCATGTGGGGCCGGAGCCAGAGCGTCCGCCCTCCCACTCACCCAGGCCTTTGCCCAGAACCGGCACCCGGGTCTCAAAAATCCATATGATAAACCTGGTGCTGTCTCCGTGAGATTTTAACCCACTCAGTGCCTTTGCAAAAATTGTTGTTAAAATAAAAATTAATTAAAATAAAAACTATTAAAATAAATTAAAATGTATCAAAATAAATAGGCAATGCAAATTATATAGCATTAAAACTTTACTGTTGTAAGAAAAAATGCAGGCCAAACCCACAGCCTGGGGCCTGTGAGGAGCCGTGAGCTCGCCC